GGGAGACCTGGGCACTGTCCCGCCCACGGACACCCTAACGGGCCAGCGTGTGAGGGGCAGCAGCCGGCGCGAGTACCCGCGATTCAACCCGCTGCGACTCAGCACTGACTGTGGGTCCTCACGACAGCGCGGAACTTTTTCCTCCTGACCCCTCAAACACTCCCCAGTCACGTCAGTCTTGCTCATCAGTGGAAAAACCAAGAGCTTCTCCATTCATTCCCCTCGACCCCCTTCTCCCAAAGCAGGATTCGGCACTGGCAGAAGCCTGTTGTCATCTAGGTCTGTGCTCAGAACACGGGGCGTGAGTGCAGCACCCCGAGTCAGGCACTTTACCACAGTGGACAGTCTTGCTCAGCTCTTAAGAAACATCTCTGGCTTAATAAGGGTCAGGCTTTTCTGTTGATCAAAGCATTATCTCTGAGATCTAAAGTTCGGGGCATGGCTTTGTTTTGCAAGCCCCACAAAGAAGCTGGGCTGAGGACGAGGCACCAGCAGCCCAGCATGCTCCTGGCTGCGGTTTGCTCCCCAGAGCCTTGTAAATCAGGCTTAGTGCTGAATGCCTGTAATCCCTGCACTTGGGAATTGTCGGCAGGAGGATGGGGAGTTATATATGGAGTTCACAGCTAGCCTGAGCTACATGAGACCATACCTCAGCAAGCAAACAAACAAAACAAGAGGTGTGTTGAAATGTGGAATTTAATCTTCATGTCTCATGGCTGTTTAATTTCAGTTTTGAAACTATTAAAGTTAGACCAGCCCCAAGCCTGTGAATAAAGGAGTCAGGAGGATCCACAGCTGTCTGAGAGAACTAAGGGGCCCCTCCCAAGCCTGGGTCACCACGTCGTCGGTTTTCACTGTCCCGGGCAGAAGTGGTGTCTTGGTAGCATCTAGCAAGGGCCGCATGTAGCCACGTGCCCAGTGAACACCATCGGTTCCCAGGGTCACGGAGGTGCTCTACTCTCCTAGACACCAGAGGAAAGCACTCACACCGAATCTATTAAATTGAAGAACTGCCAGATTCCTTCTCCCCTTTTCCTGTAGTTAGCTGAGAATTTTGCCAATAGATCAACTCCCTGTAGTAGCTCCTGTCACGTGTTTCTCTTTCCTACCCACCCAGCTTTGTTCCCTTTTTTAGTAAACCAATCAAGTCTAGTTTCTGTCGCCCATATATTGTTTGCTGTGTGACTCTCCACTGGGGCATGGTCAACCCACTGGGGGACACACACTAAAGAAAACTGACTCTTCTCCTGGAAGCTCTGAACGAGCACTGGCTCCTCAGCCAGCTGTGGGCTTGTGCCTACCTCCCCTCTGTCTGCTCTGACTTTGTTTGGTTTGAGCCTGAATGGTTCCTGTGCACGGCGTGACACAAGTTGTGAGTTAATATTTACAACTTCCATTCTGTCTCCTCCAAACACTCTTTCCCGGCGTCTCATCTACCAACTCCGATGACTCGTATAATCCTCCTGCCTCATCCCCTGCTGTGGGAGCAGGGGTTGGGAGGTCATGGATGTAGCTTTTCGGCTCTGGGTCTGCTCTCTGTTGCACCTGACTGTGTGTGAACCGCCGTCTCCTGCCAACAGGAGCTGCTCTGGAGAGGGCTGAGCACAGCGCTGATGGTGTAGTGATTAATCACCAGGACCCAGTTCAACACAACGTCCATTCATCAGAGTGACGGTAGTTGGTTCTCTCCAGGGTCTATGGCCCATCTCGCCTCAGGTTCTAGCCAGGCTCGAGTGTCACCTTGTGAACAGAACTTAGACTCTTTGGATTCTTACTGATAAGTGACTCTAGTCCTCAGTCCACAGTATTGAAATGATTTTACTGATGATGGTGGCTTCATTTTCTAGACAGTGCTGGGTGCTTGTCGTGGGCCCCGTGCTGTGAGCCATCCACGTGCTGTGAGGAGCATCCTGGTGGCCTTGCCTTACCCAAGCCACAGAGAAGAGGGCACGCATGGCTTCTCTCTTGAGCTTAGAAGATCTTTCCTTCACTTCATGTAGAGGAACATGGCTGGTTTCTGACCACTCCAAGGTGACGTGCGGTCTGTGGGTCTGTCAACCTGGAACTTCAGGAAGCATTTAAGATGGTTGGAGAGAGAGTGCGGAGTCCAGCAGGCTCCACTCTCCCAGAAGCAAGCCCAGCCTGGGCTCTGAGAGCTTCTGTCAAGGCCAGAGTCTCTCGCTTTTCCTGAGACAGTCTGCTTTTGGCTATGCCTGGAACTCTTACTCACGCAGACAGGCAAGGAGGAGCTCAAATGGCTTCAGCAGGAGCTCCTGCAGCCCCTCAGTGCCATGGGCCTTCCTCACCCTCAACAGCGACAACAGCTGCCAGGGATCAGCCTGGACGCCATCTCCCACAAAGCCCTGTCACAACCCAGAAGAGAGCCAGGGTTCACTCTTGTGTGAGTTCATGAAATGTCAGAGTGTTGTGCCTGAAAACTAACTGTAGAGTTCTGAACTTAGTAGCACAAAGGTCACAAAGCCCACTGAAAGCAAACAGCAGAGAGGCCTCTGAATGCTCTGCATCACCTGACGCCTCCCAGGAGATGACATTGTCTTCTGGGCCAGTGACGGGTTTGTGTTTTTGTCAGCATTTGTTAGAGATTTTAGTACCCATACAAACAAGTAGATTTTATAGAACCCCACACAACTAAGAATGCAAGCTGTGCATGAGCTTTTTCCATACAGAAGCAGCCGTGCCTGCCCTTTGTTCCCAGCGGCCTTCAAGACATCCAGAGAAAAGAACTCACACACGCAAGCAGCAGCCAGAGGTGTCAGAAGGTCAACATGCACAGAGCTTCCACTGAGCTTCCTGGTTACTGGAGGTTCCTGCTGACCAGCCCAGAAGAGGGCTGCATGCTGTGAGGGCAGCTACTGAAACTCAGGGGCCATCACAGATCAGATTCCCTTGAACAGAATTTTAGAGTTCAGGCTTTCATTTTTTATGGTCATTTATAGTAAGTTTTGTGCCAAAGTCAACATAAAGTAAAGCCTGTTTTTAGTGAGACACTATTTCCTTCCTTCCTTCCTTCCTTCCTTCCTTCCTTCCTTCCTTCCTTCCTTCCTTCCCTCCCCTTTCCTTCCTTTTCCTTCTTCATGTACTGGCTTCTTCCCTCTTTTCTTCTTCTCTCTTTTCCACCCTTCCTTCTCCATCTTTCTTCTCCCTAGTCTTTCCTCCTCCTCCCTAGTTTCTCGCCTTCCCCTTCTCCTTTCTCTTCTTCCTTCCTCTCCTCACCATCTTCATACTGCTCCCCCTCCTCTCCGTTCTTGCTGCCAACCCTGCACTTTCCCCTCATCTACATCCTCATAGAATGTCCAGTGTCCTGGGCTGGGAACATTGATTGTGGTTCACACACGCCAGGTGTGTGATGGGAGAATGCCTTTCTGCTGGCCAGGGCAGGCTCTCGGAGCCCTGACTGCCTCTGATCACTGTTACGCTGAGCAGTGGGTGGCCTGGAAAACATCACCGTCAGCGAGAATCTCAAGTTTTTACTTATTTTTTGATTTACTTTGTTTTTTACTTGTTTTCGTGTTTTGCCTGCACGTATGGCTGGGCAGCATATGCACACCAGCCTATGTCTGCAGAGGTCAGAGAGGGCACTGGATCCCGCACCGGCAGTTACAGGCAGTTACGGCCCACAGTGTGTGTGCTGGGAGCAGACCCCAGCCTCCGTGCTCTTGCCTTCTGGGCCATCCCTCCAGCCCCTTGTCCTTTTTATTGTATTTGTTTATTATTAAATTCGTTTTGTTTGTGGGCATGCAGGTACCGCAGCAGACATGCAGAGAGCGGAAGACAGCTTGGAGAAGCGGTTCTCCGTCCTCCCTCTGGGCCCCGGGGACCGAGCTCAGCCCGTCAGCGCTTGCAGCAGCATCTCCACTCACAATCCGCTTCTCTGGCCCTGACACTGTTTAGCGGAGCTTCTAAAAGCCTGATATACAAAGATAATTTTCTTGTTTCCTCAGACTCCTTTTTATGCTTAAAACTCAAAAGTTAAGCAGTCTATGGACCAAGTCACATGGTTTCTAAAGGGGTCTTCCCTCCTCTTCTAAGGGAATGGGAAGAGCCCAGCCCAGCACAGAGCCCTGAGAAGGGCCGCTGCTCTCAATGACAACCTGTTTCAGGACAGGAAGGCTCGAAGCTTTGACCCTGTATTTGTTTTTCTCTCTTCTTACTGAGCCGTCCTACCAGCCCTTGCTGTATTCTTTTTACAGTGTATTCATTATATTTCCCGAGTGAAGCCTCTCCCTCAGCTCCTCCCAGTCCCACCCTGCCTCCCTCTTCTCCTCTCATCCCCTTTCCCTCGTCCACTGAAAGGGGGAGTTCTCCTCCTCTGCCATCTGCCCATAGCTTATCATGTCTCATCAGGACTGCCTGGATCCTCTTCCTCTGTGGCCTGGCAAGGCCTCACGGCAGGGGAAGGTGATCAAAGAGCAGGCAACCAAGTTCATGACAAAGGCAGCCCCTGCTCTCCTTACTCAGGAACCCACATGGAGACCGAGCTGCCCATGGGCTACACGTGAGCAGGGAGCCTAGTGGTCTGTGTCTGCCTAAACTACACAACGCTTCTGGAGACGGGGACTGGCGTGGACACCCTGTCTGGTCTGAGTTCTTTGCCAAAAGAAGTAGATATCGTTACCATAAATTATAGCAACCACCTGCCCTGGGCTCTCATGCACCGATTTGCACAGGGGTGACTCGGGCAGATTTTTCCGTTTGTTCTCGTTACCACTGAAGGAAAGGTGACAAAACTCGTCGAAATATTCATGAAACACACAGGAGTAATTCACCGCTAACACAGTCCCCTGAAATTATCCTCATGGGACATTCACAGCGCAGACGTGTGGTTAGACAGCGACCCTTGTTTAAGTCAGTTATGTGTGTGTTGGAGGGGGGGGCTTTTCCGTGCTTCTAGGAGAGGCCACGTGAAAATGCCGTGGTGCAGCCTCAAGAAGGCAGGAACCCCGCGCTGGCGCTCAGAGGACGGCCCCCCCAGCCCGTACCTGTGCAGATGAAGCTGGAGAGCCCTCCATAGATGACTTCGTCATTGTCGGGCAATATGAAGGGGCACCTCGTCTGCACCTCCAAACAATATTGCTTGCAAGGGATTGTCTTTCTGCAGTTGAACTGCGCGACTTCAAAGTACTGGGAGCAGAGCCAGGCTTTGTAGACAATCTGAAAAGCAAAGAGAGCGGAGTCAGCGGCGTGGAGGGGGCGGGGGAGAGAACCGCACATGCTCGTCTCCTGCGAGGGGAGGGCTGGGCTGGGAGGGCGTGCTTGGGGTGGCACCCGGTGAGTGTGCCTCCAGCGTCCCGCGCTAAGAACGCAGCTCTGAGTGTCTGCAGCCAGAGCTACCGGTACTGGATGCGCAGAATGCAACAGGTATTTGGTTGGAAGGACTCTAGAGACACAGTGGGTGCGCGCAGACCCTGAAGTCCCCAGGATCCCGGGGTGTGCACAGCGAGCGCAGCAGCCCGCCGGCGGCGCGCCGACTGTGCGGACGCCCGCTGCTTCCCGGCCTTCCCACCGCGCCAACCTCGCCCGGACGGTAGGTGGCGCTACCTCCCCAGCGAGGACGCCCGCCAGGGTGCAGACGCACGTGGCCGGCGCCGGCCTGCTTTCCCCGCCGCTCGCAGCAACGTGTGCTTGCATCCGTGACTCCCACGGTCTGCACGAAAGCCACGCGGAAAGCGAGGCGCTCGGCGCACACCTCCGTTCGGTCGGAAGGACGGACTCTTCCCCAGGGTCCCGGAGGCAACCTTTCCACCCAGCGCGGCCTGCGGTTGCTGAGTGTGTCCCGGATTTACTGACGCGGCCTTATCGAGCTCCCTCTGTGCGTGGCTACCGGAGTCACCTTTTCCCCTAACACGAAATGAACCAAGTCTAAGCTTAAATGAAACAGATCAGCGAAGTGCTGTTTCTTTCCAGGTCTTTCGCACCATGGACTGTCGTTTCTAGAGGAAACTAGTACTATTTAAGTAACTCTTCATCCTTAGACTCTATCTTGAAAAATGGCATTAAATATACGCGAATGCACCGTCAACGGGATAAGATGGCAAGTATTTAGCACATTTACACATATTCTAAGCAAGTTACAGGGTTTTTTTTTTTTTTTCCCCCATTTCTGACTCAGAATATGTCCACTGGTCACATTTTGATCAAGAATAATAAGTATGTAAATAAATGGAAAACTTCAGAATTTGAAGCCCAAATCTAGATTTCCCAACTTTTATTCTTAGTGGCTATTCTGTGCTTTATGAGAACATGTTTTCAAACATGTGTGAAGCCCCAGCAGGGTTCTCAGACAACTGTCAACAGCCTGACTCAGCCCCGCTTGCGGCTGGTTGTTTGAGGATTACCCCATAGTTTGCTGTTAGTTTCATGAAAATTAAGTTATACTCTTTGAAGAAAGGGTCTCTATAGGAGGCAAAAAAAAAAAAAAAAAAAAAAAAAAAAAAAAAAAAAAAAAAAAAAAACCCAAAGCCTAATGTGGAATTCACGCATAATTATAGACGGCCAAAGTAACTTTCACTGTGGTCATCTTTGCCCTTGTCACTGTGTGCCTGTTTGCATGGGGGCTGAATGGATCTGAACACAACCACAGCCAAGGGGTTGCTGAGAAGCCATGAACTTGAGATGGGAAGCCTCCGTCCCCCATGGGTTCCCAAGGCAGCAGCTGCCAGGAGGACCAGCTCATGCCATAGAACGAAGGGCAGAGCATCAGTGAGGGAGAAGGGAAGTGGTGCCTAAGCTGCCCCATGAGGTAAAGCACGGGCTGTCGACGCCCTTTGGCCATTGTGACAAGTGTGATGTGTACGACAGGGGCTCCAGCATTCAAGGGGTGGGCGGAGCCGTGTCTCACAGTGCTGCCTTCAAGTGCCTTTGCTCGGTGCTGGAAGCAGGCGGGCTCGTCTGGATACTCAGGCTAACAGTAAGACAGCACTTGTGGAAGGGCTCTGCATGATTAAGGACCATCTCTGCACATGCTAGAAGTTTCAGCTATGCCCGTGGGCACCACGTCCACCCTGCCCCCAACCCTGCCCAACTGGCTGTTAGCTATTTGTTACTTAATTCTTTAGAGTGCCAGGCTGGCCTTGAAATCAATCCCTATGTAGTCAGGCAGGATGCTCCTGTCCCCAGCTCTCTGGGCTTACCAGTGTGAGACACCATCCCCAGTTATGCAGTGCTAGGCGTGGAACGAGGGGCCCCGTGCAGGCTGGGCAGGCACCTGGGCTACAACCTTGGGCAGTTCTCAAGCTCTGTCAGATCCAGATGTTTGAGTTATGACCTTATGTCGTTCTCCACCACAGACAAGGTCCTGATGCGCTTTGAGGCATCCTTTCCCTTGGCCTTCCCCAGGGGAGGCACAGGCCCATTGCAGATATCTGCTTTTGCTTAAGGAAGTGGGCGAGTGACCAGTGCAGTTTTTCTCCTTATGGGGTAGGAGGCTGCAGACAGAAGAGGGCAGTGGACGCTAGTGAGCGGGCACATCTGCAGACACATGAGCGGGCACATCTGCAGACACAGGAGCTAGAACATCTGCAGACACATGAGCTAGAACATCTGCAGACACATGAGCTAGAACATCTGCAGCTGGGCCCCTGTCCTTCAGCTTGTGACGGACCGCATGCTTGGAGATGCCACCAAAAGCTCCCAATTGAGAAACACCTTTCCGTTCCCAGGCATCTGCTGGAAATCGGCAGAGAACGCGCTTTAAGGGAAGTCTGGGAATAGCCGGTCAGTGCACACTCACCAGGATGGACCCTGGAGCTCAGTCAACCTGGCTTATCGCTGCAGAGAGCAGAGGCCGAGAGGATGCCCCAGTGGTGCAAGGAGAGGGCCCTCCCGAAAGTCAGTCTCTGACTTCCACAGGACGCTTGTGGCACATTTGGTGGGGAGTGCACACACACACACACACACACACACACACACACACAAGAGCACAGGCCGGAAACCCCAGCGCTAGGGAGTGGAGACAGGCTGCTCCCTGGCGGAGGGCTAGCCAGACAGCCTAGCCTATCAGCAAGCTCCGGGGTCGGTGAGGAAGACACCAGGAGACACCTCCGTCCTCCAGTGTACAGGCACACGCACGCACAGACACATGCACTCACGCATGCTCACACACAGGCGCACGCATGTGCTCCTAACATGGCGTGTGGCTGGCTGATTCCTGAACTAAAAGTCAGACTCCCTGCTTCCTGCTGTTGCTGAGCCATGGCTTTGGATCCTCGATTCTGACGGACTAGCCTTGTCCTTCAGTGCTTCCTGTGGTGCCCGGAGATAGCCCTCATTCCCATGCCTGCTGATCTAATTCAGTCCGGGCCCAAGGGCAAGATGGCTCCCGGGCCAGTTCACATGGAGCCAGGGTCGGTCTCAGAAGCTCTGGGTACCCTCCACCACGCTGTCACTCTGGGCATGACAAAGCTGGGGTCACCAACATGTGACTACAGGGAAGGCACAAAACAAATCACCCAGCTGTGCTCATGGGAGTGGCAAGGACGCCCACGATGGGGTGATGTGTGGGGTTAGGGGTCAAAGACACCCGGGAGGTGCGTCCCTCTCTCTCCGGCGCACTCAGGAGGAAAGAGACTGTAGGCCACGCTCATCACCCCTCCCTGCCGAGTGTCACTGTGCACAGTGCTCTGCCGGTCCTGGTCATCGTTTCCGCTCCTCCTCTCCTGTGTTGGCCCCTCCACAGGCTGCCTGCCCCTCCGCTGTCACACCCTGCCACAGAGCTCACACGTTTCTCACCAGCCCGGGCTCAAGGACAGCTAAATAACGTCCCGAAAGAGCAGCATCCTGGCTGAGACCCGCTCTGCCCAGCCCTTCTCAGCCCCTACTCACCTGTCCTTGTTAATAGTACACACACACACACACACACACACACACACACACACACACCACACATGCACACACCACACACACACACACACACACACACACACACACCACACACACCACACATACACACCACACACACACACACACACACACACACACACACACACACACACAAGCTTCCTGGATGATCAAGAACTGGGCAGAGCACTTTGCAGGGTCTGTCTGTCTGTGCCTCTTGCTGGTTCCCCAATGTAAGCTTCTGTACAGCTCAACAGTCCACTGTCATGGATCAGTGTTCTTACACTGATGGAGTCCACAGATGTCCTTCTGCTCTTCTCCTCCCACCCCCCATCTGTCTCACACACTGATCTGCCCAAAACCTTTGCCTCACCCCTCTTCAACACCCCAGGTCTACAGAGTCCAAGATGGATACCAGCCTGTTTCCTTCAGTGGATTTTCATGCCCTCTCACCCCTCCTTCCACACTTTAGCACACTGCAAGCCTTCCTTTCTCACCCCATGACTCTCCTGCCCATGAATTTCCAGTTTCTGCAGGCACTACCTTGCTTTTGAGTTCTCTTGCCCTCACACACCCAGCGACCCCGAGGGAACTCCTCCTCCAGGCTGCTGTGGAGAAGTCTCCACAGGGCTGAGTGATGTCACCACATCAGCCAGGCTCCGAGGGAGGAGCAGGGTCCAGCAGGGACCCGGAGCCTCACCCTGTGGAGCCCTGGGCCATACCTCCCTCCACCTTCAGGAGATCAGCATTCTGTGGGCTCACAGACAGCACTCGGCTGCTCTGTGACACAGGGAGTCCTGGGAGAGGGGAGCACAGCAGAGACAAGATCGACGGGGAGAGGGGGCATGAGGAGGGCAGCCTGCACAAGATGGGGAATCAAGGCTCGTACCCATCCCTCACCCCCATCACTGCTGGGGCTTTCTGGGAGCCGCCCAGAAAAATGCTCGCCTTACACACTTCCAAGTGTGTAAGCCAAGTGTGGAGGAGTCACAGTTTGGAACAATGACTAGGAGGCTCCCATTCCACACAGCGAAACACGTCACAGTCTATGCCACTGTCAGGTCTGTGCTAGCGCCTATTACTCCATGACAGGCGTTTGGAAGTCTAGGAAGCCCTCTTCCACGCTTGCATTGGTGGTGTAGGCCTGTTACCCTTGGTACACCAGAAGCCGAGGCAGGGCAGTCAGAGCCATAGGTTCAGACCCGCCTGTGCTCTCTAGGAAGTTCAAGGCCAATCTGGGCAACTTCATGGGATTCTGTGTCAAAAATGAAATAAACAAAGTTCTTACGTAGCAGGCATGAGGCCCTGTTACCGGA